CAAATGTTGCTTCTGCTGTAGTCTAAACTTAGGTAGCTACATCAGTGAATGTCTATATAGTAGGATGACTGACACACTTATATCTCATATCAAAGTTATATGGCATTATCTTCTACAGTCAAAGGTATTTATTTAACCTCTTGCTGAACTCAGCTTCTCTCCTTTTTGTATTTTCGTCTCATATGAGTTCCTGGGCCTGTCTGGTTTTTAATAATATGCTGCGCTTATCTTTGTGTGTTCTGCTGTACTACTAGTTTCTGTAACAAAAACAGTAAAAACTTTATGCCACCCTGAAAGAGCTAAAACTTTCTGGGTCTGCCACAATCATTAATTAAAGCTCCAAATTAAGTGAAATTCATTCTATTTGTCCTTAGTAATAGAAATATTTAATTATACCCTTTTAATGTTATCAATGTACTGAGTAGCTACAATTATTTAGAAAGTCATACATGTGAAAAATACTCAAAATATCTAATTACAAACCGTAGCTAGAAAGCACACATTTTCCTGACAATTAGCATGTGTGTTACTCATCATGTACTTAGTGAACTGTAAGCGTCAAGATGTTTTCCTGTGAGAACTCTGCAACAAAGTGGTTGTACCTTGCGCAATTCCCATTCAGTACAATTGATCTTATGTGGGAGAAATTGCCAGTGGGTGGTGGTCTAACATTAAAATATATGATCCTACATATATGAAGGGGCAGAAAAAGCAGAAGGTAAATGTTTCCCATTTTTTTCTTTCCTCACTCTTCACATCTACAAAATCCACTAAATTTCAGAAAGTAAAAAAAAAAAAAATATCATAACATTCTTTCTGATATTTGGATGGCTATGTTTTATCTACAGAGGGATCACTAACAATTTCTTGTTAGTTAGTAGCAAGGTTAGTGTCCTATATTCGATTGTATAGTTTTTTCAAATCTTTAGGATTTTTCTTTCAACATTCCAGGGTATAATTTGGTCAAGGTGGAATATGCATTTTAAATCCTTTATTACTTCAATTGCATTGATTTCCTGGGCCTGAGTTTCTTCCAAATCCAGGTGTTACCTTGGAAATCCTGAATATAGTGAGGAAGAAAATTGGGAACTATCTCCTCCCAGGATGGGCCGGATGATATCATAGGAAACAAATAAATCATCTCCATCCTTGCTCCAAGGGCCCAAGCCATCCTAGAAGCAGCATCTGGCATCTATTTGAGAGTTAATTTTGCTTTCCCTGTGCGTTTCTCAAAAGGGAACGCCACAAACCCATTGTCATGCCAGGCAGCCAGTGTGTGAATTATGTGTTTTTGGAGAATTCACTTTGCCTACTTTGAGCCTTTGGGATTTTGGTAAGATGTAAAGTAAGAAAGAAACTGGGAGAGGCTTACTTGCTCAAAATTATACATGGATATTTCCCTTCTATAATAATAAATACTTCGGGGATTGATTGAACATTCACTTTGATATGATAGCTTTATTTTTTTTTATTTCAATTGCAAGGGAATCTGGGCACTATTAAAAAATATAAAATGTAAAAGCAAAGTAGTATCCATAATATATAAGAACAATAACAATAGCAATAGCAATACAACACAATCAGTAAACTCAACCATTCTCTTGCTGATGGCTATATAAAATCAACTTCACTATTTATCAGAAGGCTGTGAGATTAGGGGCTACAGTTGCCTCATAGCAAGGGTTCCAAAGCGCCCAAAGAGAATGCCCGCCATTGAGTCACTGTATGTCAGAATAGGAGAGACCTTCAGCAAATGCTCTTTGAGTGTTTGGGTTGGGTGGCAGATACCACCTGGGAAAGGCAGCCTCTTTAATATCCAGGCCTCAAGATACCTAGGGGTTTATTAGTAGTGATCCGCCTCTTGAATTGTACTCAGAAACACACCAGTATCCAATGCAGCTCCTGCAGCATTGACATGGCATGACTGTACCGGGACTGCCCAGTAAGTAGCTGAAATTTCCAGGTGGTCCTCAAAGGCAGTCCGATGTAATGTGAGTTACAACAATGAGTTGTGAGATGAACATGTGTAACCATCCTTAGTACTTTTTTCAGGTATGGCCACACCAGCTGGAGCTGTGCAAATCCTTCATGGTTACAGCTTCTATCTGTTGTTCTAGAGGAACTGAGAGTCCAGAAGGACCCTTAAGTTATGGACCTCCTTTGTTTATAGGGGCACAGACCAGTTAAGAGTCAAACATTATGCAATCCTGGAATCAATAGATTTCTGAATTGATAGCCACTCCATCTTGTTATAGTTGAATCTAAGCCTGTTTTTTCTCATCTAGGCCTTGACAGCTTCCAGGCATCAGGCCAGGACTTTTATTGTGGTTTTAATAACTTTGGCATAAATTTGATGACACAAATACAGAGACATTTACTGAATGGGCTGCAGAAATATAACATTCACTTTGATATGAACCATTTTTTTTTAAATTGGAATCAACTCAGATAATTCAGTTGTCAGTCATCTGAATGGCCCCCAATCTTCATGATGCTGCAAATATTCTGAGGTGAATTCTTCATGCCTACAAGTGCATACCCAGATTATTTTGTGTCAGCTACAGAAGCAATAGCAGCTTTTCAAACTCTGGCATGTCTTTTTTTGTTAGTTTGTTTGTTCTTCCAGAATAACGTTTTTGTGGAGTCAGGGTGAGTTCAGTATGGTTCTGTACCATACAGTACATTGCACCATGCAACAAAAATAGCTGACCAGGCTCCTTTGAATTTTCCTGCGAAAATTCTTTGGAACTGAAGGTAGAGGTGCTTCCCCCTTTTCCGCATGAACTTTAGTATAAACTATTCAGAGACTTCAGCACATAAAGTTTTATAATATCATGTTAAATAAATAAATAGTTATGAGAAAATGTTATGCTACAGCAGGCTTCTATGTTAAAGCATGGGTTGTATCTCAACTTCCAGAATATTCAGACTGTGCTGGCTAGAAATTCTAGAAGTTGAAACTAAACATATCTGGATGACAGGCTTTGGAAGGACTGTATTATAGGATACAATAAATAAATAGATAAAAATAAATTATCATATAGGTAGTCCTTGTTTAGCGATCACAATTGGGATCGGCAACTCAGTCATTAAACAAAGCAGTCACTAAGTGAAAAATCATGTGACCACAACTGTGCTTACAATTTTCCTTCAGCTTTCCTTTGCTTTACAGCCTCAGAAGGATATGATTCCAAACAGCAGGTGAGCCCAAATGGCAGGGAAGGTTCCAGAACATGACTCATGAAAAAGCTGGATAAAAGGGCAAATCTTATAGCCCTTTTTTCCTCACTCCCCTGCACTTTGGGATAATTAACAAGAAGACAATTAATGTTTGCATTTACATTCATTGGAGAGGAAGGGATTAAAAAAGACTAAGCAGGCATACAGTGGGGAATACCCATAGTAAGGAATGTGCTAATGCTAGCTGTTTGCTTAGCACCCTGGCTGCTGTGAGCCATGAGCTGCTTAAGAGGCAAACATAAGCCTTTAGTGTGAAACTGATTAGGGTTGGTCAATTTCAGGCAGTAGCAGTGAGGTGGGAGGGTTCTAATCAACTAATTAAGGTCACAGCTGAGCTTGTTAACTTGAGATTAGCACTTTTTAGGGATGTGCTGTGCTGCAGTGAAAAGCAGCTCAGGAAGAAATAGCTTGTTTAGGCAATCTCTCTACTCTGCAAGAAGGTAAAAAAAAAAGGGGAGGGAGGGTCAGGCATAGGACAAAGCATACTGACTGTAATGGTGAACACATGACTGAAAGACAGATGCTGTGAAGGTCATAAATGCAGGCATTAGTTGCAAATTTTTCATCACTGTTGTAACTGAATGGTCACTGTCTGAGACAGGCTACCTGTATGTATTTCCTGCTCTGCATTATCGGTAGCTTCTGGTTAGATGGGGGAGCAAAACTGAGATAGTGAATTTTGTTTCTTTTGTTACCAATTTTGAGGAAAGAGAACTTCAACAGAATTGGCCCTTTTGAAGTTTGTGCGTTGTCTCATCCAGTTCCAAAGTTCTAGTCTACAAAGCTCACATGTGTGAAAACAATGGTCAAAGTCATCCCAGCATATCTTTGCTTTTAAAAAGTCCAGTAGACATACATTTGTTGCAAAATGCAGGTAACTGGGGAAATAGAGATGTTTGTGTTTGCTTAATTAGAGTTAAGCCCCATTATGGGCAGAGCACAGCAACACATAGTACAACTGGGCACATTGTACAGTAGAGATAAGAAATTGCTTAGTGTATATTGTTATAAAATGTAATACCCATGCTTAACTTGACGTGACTTCATCCATATCTGTATATGGAATTGCTTGACCCCTGTCTTGTAACCAGTAATCTGTTCATAATTTGAGTCTCTTTATTTCTACAAAGTAGATAGTGCTTGTATTTGGTGATGGGAGGGGGGTCTTTCATCTTGGGAATGTTGTAAATGTGTCCTATGAATGACAGACCAAGTTCTGCAGACCCTTACAAATAAACTATTTGTAGACTGAGTATTGATTTTGTAATCTTGAATGAGTAGACAATGAACTGAGTTCAACCTTGTTGTAATATAGTTGAGAAGGGAGAAAGTGGTTGCAAGTTTTCTGTCTAACATAACATAACCAGGCCAGTGAGATGGGTCTAGCCTTGCTCTCAATTTTTATTTTGTTTTTCTTCTTTTTCCCGTGTGAATCCTAAGTAAATAAGAACTAAATTCTCTGGGGTGTAATGGCTTTATTTTATAACTGGGCCATAAAGGGCAGACAGCATTCTCCTTTTTAGGCAGACACTAAAATAATACAAAGCAGAAGCAGAATGAGGTACTGCTAGTATTAGTTTACTATATTTGGTTGTGAATCAGTGCTACAGCATAAAATACCAATAACACTTTGAGCTCTCATTTTTTTGTTTCCATCTTATTCATTGTCTGTAGAAGCTAAGTAGGTGTGAGACAGTTTGGATGAATACTTCAGTGTAATTTTGTATAATTTCATGTTTCCATATAAATCTCTTTTATAGGTCCCTTTAGATGGAATTTTATGCAGCAGAAACCTTGTCACCAGAAGAATTAATGTCTGCGTTAGCGTTTTGGAAATAGAAAAAACAAAAATTCCCAAAGCTAAGTAAAGGCCCACAGACAGCCTCAAACCTGGATTCTTCAGCTCAGCATTCAACATTGGAGTTTTTAAATACTTGCGGTAGAGAAACCATTGCCAATGCTTACAAGGAACTGCTTATCCCTGCTTCTCTGGGTCCTGTTCAATGGATGTGTCTTAATGTCACTTCATTCACAACCACAACAGATTTCAAAAGCTGAATCAAGGGGAAATGTTGTCACCAACCCAGAAAGGAGGATACCCATCATACGGGTCAAGAGAGGCTGGGTCTGGAATCAGTTCTTTGTGCTGGAAGAATACATGGGCTCCGAACCCCAGTACGTGGGAAAGGTAAATGCTTAATCTTCTAAAATGCTCTGCTAACAGTGAAAACCTTTACCTGTCTATTCAGAAGAAAACCTTTATTGCTTTCAGTGGGAGTTACTTCCAAGTGAACATAAGATAGTCCTACAACAAGACAATGCTATACAAGTTTACTGAGACTTGATTCTGTGTTTAGCAATGCTTATTCACAGATAGGACAGTGTAGGGTTTCAACTAAAATGAATTAGGTTGTAGGCAGTTGCATGCAAAAAAAAAAAAAAATGAAGGAAGGAAGGAAGGAAGGAAGG